CAAATTAAGGTATTCCAATATCTATTTTATTTTATAGCAGTAATCTGGATCTAATTCGATTAATCTCAAAGATGTGCTAACTCTTGTTTTTTTTTTTTTTTGGTAAAAATGCTAACTCTTGTTGAACAAGCTTATCATGTTAAAAATCCAGACCGATAAAATTAACTCCTAACCCGAGACACGAAAGGCCCAAGCACAACTCAATTATTCGTCAAGAGAATGAAAAATAGAGTCTCTTCGAATTTACGTCCTGAAATTCTTGAGTGTCAAGGCCTAGACCATCACATGCGGATTCGTTCCAATATATATATGCTTGCACTGCATCAACAACAAAAATTAGTAATTTGTGTCAATTAATGTATCTATTTGTACTGTATATTGATTGTCCTTGGAGTCATTATAATGGAGCATAAACTAATGGGGTATAATATGCAACATATAGAAACTAAGGTTGTATTAATTACATACATGGTCTCTACTCTCACTTATAACAAACTACCTGGTGACCACTTATATATATATACACCATATGTACCAGAAGATTAAGAAATGATGGGCTCTCTATCCATTATCCAACTTGACCTTAGATCTCAAAAAGCTATATTGTGTTAATCTATTATATTTTGTGTCTTTTTAAAATTTTTGAAAGAAATTTATGTATTAATTTCAAAAGTATAGTATTAGGTGTAGGAGCTAAATTTGTTTTACATCTGTTACCAATCAAGGTTCAAGGTTCCATCATCGCCAATCGCTTTCATAACACATCACTATATAATTAGCGAAGTTTTGCTACAAATTATTTATGATTTTATTAAACTAGAAAATTGATAAATAAATAAATAAATATGTAAGAGTGATATATAGAAAATATATGAAGATTAAGTAATTTATGGCAAAATAAATTATTAATTTATTAAGATAAAATAATAAATTAATCTATTATTTTATTGCTTCTATCAATGGTATGTGATGTATAGTAATGGTTTATAAATCAAAGTTTTTTCAGTTTTTATTTGTCAAAATTTATTGATCTATTATTTTATTGCTTCTATCAATGGTATGAGATGTAGTAATGGTTTATAAATCATAGTTTTTTCCGTTTTTGTTTGTCAATTAGTGTACAGATGATTGAATTACTATTACTGGTTGGCACAAAAAAATTCGTGTGCTGATCATGTTTCTATACATTAATTAAAACGATGATACTCTTACTTCATATTTATAAACGAAGTCTAGACCACCTAGATGATATGCTTCTCTCAACACTTGAAGCTTTAATTTTTACATTTAATTACCTTTTCTCAATGTTTTGAAGTTTTACTATATAACTCTACAATCTTCCGTTTTTTTTTGTATTATCATAACTGCTTTTATTCATTTGCTTTCGCTTAATGGGATACCATTTGAAACATACAACATAAGCACAAAAAAGAAATCAAGAGAAATATGCATATCTTTCTACTATGATAGGTTTCGAATAAAACTGCCAAAACATAACAAAATTGCATCCTTTGATAGGATAGGCGATGCTAAGGCTATGCCCTGACTATTGTTCATGATTAAATATATTTCAAAAGAAATTAAAGATGGTCGTAGTTGGTCAATCATATAAAATATTTTTATGCAATGAGAAAATAAAAAGTTAACTCTTTTTTTTGGGGGTCAAATATATAGAAAAAAAAGTAGAGAGCAAAGGCCTTAAAAGGAGGGTCATTAAAAGTATGGGAAAGCATTATTATTTATTTTAAAGTTGTCTAAGAAGAGGACAAAGGCTTTAGAGCAGGGGAATATATGCTTTCTCAAATTTAGGGCATCACTGTCCAACAGACTTTCCCCATTCCTCATCTTTATATTTTGGTTCCTAACAATAACAAATTAAAGATCATATATATATATATATTTCATTTTAGTATCATTATAATTCGATTTCAGTTTCATATGTACACACAGAAACGCAGCAAGACGCGGGCATGTGTTGTGTTTGAGGTATTATTACATGGAATGGGACTTTTTAACGCTGTTCAACAATCCATCTTTCACTATGTAGCTACGATCTTTCAGATTTATAAATTTTGAATTTTGATATTTTGTATAAGTTATGATGTAAGAAAACTTTTAAAAAGTTAACAAAATATCGTATGGGTAACCAACGTGGGTTGGGCTAGTGGCACTTGAGGAGGTAATTCTAATATAGTGCCCACAGTTCGAGAGCTAGCGTTGGCCACTGCGGTATTCACATGCCGGCTGCAGGTCTCCAAGAAACACATTAAGCGTTGGGTTCGGATGGCCTGAAAGGGAACCGGCTTCAAGCCTTGGTGCTAGTCGGGCTTCGGCCCGGATACCTGAATTATCAAAAAAAAATATATATATATATATCGTATGGGTTTATTACTATAATATATCCACTCAAGCGAAGACGGCAAAGACTTCTCCACGTGGTCAATCTATTGAACTACTAATCTCCATAACTGATAAAATTCAGTAAATATGTTATGTGATTTCAGTCAATGTAAAGTAAGAATAAACAAAGACATGTTTTGTTTGATGCGTTAAAAATAATATGAATTTATAGTAAATGACACCGCCGTGGCAATGGGATGGGGCCGTCGGTGTTGGTGGTAGGACGGGCGGATGTATTGGGGTGGTGATGACGGTGGTAGCGATATTTAAGTGAAGAATAATGAATTTTAATTGATTAATTCTGATTTTTTGAATTAAATATATATATATTTGTGAAGATGTGTGGGACAAAAAAATAGAGAGAAAGTAATTAATTTATTGTGATTAGTAGTTCGACTCGTCATCACAACTAGAACAATGGTTGGGAGTTATGAGTTATGACCATTTGAAGAAACACAAGTATATTCTGTACAGAAGAACCACAGCGATCGCTGAAGAGGGACTCGACTCGACCATGCCTACAAGCCAAAATGGCCTTCATGTTTTTATGGTTTAGTATATTGCATTGTGAACTTCTGTTATTCCGCTATAATATACATCTTTTTACTCATATGGAGTATTTTATGCATATATCCATGTATTCAATCATTGCGTGAGTTAGACAAACAGCTTATGAAGTAATTTTGGAAAGTATATAGGTTTAGTAAGCTACATACTTGCTTGATTTGAGATTTTGTGTTGTTGCTTAGGATTTTACGTTTGGCATGACCAAATGGAAACCAGTATGTTTAAAAAATGGCAACCAAGACTAACCCATTCGATAACTGGTTTAGAAAAAGATTTAACTTAAGACATGTTAATGTTAGAGACTGAAGTTCATAGTAGAGAATATTAAGAGCTTCCCCAACTAGGAGATCAAAGTATTTCATAACAAAAAATGTTATGATTTGAACAATGTTATGGAATTTCGAAACCCAAGTAATATTAAAAAACGAGAAACAAAAAAGTCTGTTTCGAACCCAATTAATGCAATCAGAGGCCCAAAGTGTTAGCCCCTTATCTTTGTCAGTTTGTCTACTGAAATTCGAGGAGCTTAAAGTATTCCCAAGCGTTGAAGAAAAAGAAATTTAGAAGTAAACTAGAAACTCTTTTAAACCAACAGAAGATAGTACAAAGTTCTAGGGAACACTAACAAGGGGACGAGGCAACAACGGTTTTTCCTAATCAAAACTACAAGAAAGTAACCCCAAACATTTTATAATCTAAAGAAGTTGATTCCACTCATTTCAAGTTCCAAATTAGAACAACCAAATGAAAAATCCATCACCAGATTTTACCGATTTCAGAAACAATCAGTAAACGCAGAGAAGCAGACGCAGGAACCACATAGCAGCAATTATGATCTGAGTAACCAACTGTTTTATGCTCCTCCCTCTTCCTTCTCCTCCCGTTCTCTGTTCCATTGCTCAATCCTTGCCCTCCTCTCCTCACTTCCTTCTCTCCCACCACCCGGGCTCCCTCCTCGTTTAGGGCTTGCTTGTCTCCTACCCCTTGATCCATCCCTTTCTTGCCTCTCCGACCTCTCACTGCTCCTTTTCCCGCTTCCATGACGGTAAAACTCGCGATCTCTGTCCCTGTGACTGAATTCCCTGTGAGGAGGATCACGTCGGTCATACTCTCTCTTGTTCCTGGGGCTAATACTTCTGCTTCTGCTCCTGCTTCTGCTTCCCCTGCGGTATGACCGCCGATATCTCCCAAAGAGCTTTCTCCTTAGTTCCCTCGAAACAAGCTTCACATGCATGAAATTACAGTACCCACCACGGTTGCAGTTGTTTTCTTCATACTGCCTACACGTGGCTTCGCGGAAATCTGTCACAGGAGAGAAATCCGCAATGATGGGACGCCCTGAATAAAACCTACCTTGCAGAGCCTGCAAAGCAGCTGCAGCCTGATCCTCTTCCTTAAACTGAACATATACGTTGCCAATCATGTGGTCAGCAAGGTTGTCACAAATGTTGAGGCTTTCTATCTCGCCAAACTTTCCGAGTTCCTCAAAGAGATCCTCAAAGAAATCCTCAAAGTGTTCTTGGATCTTACGCGGGTCGAGCGGTTGGCCTTGAGCATCAACACCAGGGGTAATCATGTCAGGCCTTTGGTACATGTTTGAAAGAAGGAGTGTAGGGGAGATGGTAGGACGGTTGTGAAGACGAGAGCACCGGTCACCATGACGGCAAGCGCCAATCTTGAAGTAGAATGGGCAATTCACTCTGTCCTTCTCAGTACCAAAAATTGAAGCCAAATGCTCCGCCATGGCAGAATTTCCACCCTGATTTACAAATATCAGTAATTAAACAAAATATTTCTCAACATGTAGACATATCTTGAAAAGAGATTGGTGGTTATCATAAACATCAACAAGAAACTTCACTAAAGCCAAAATTTTCTCTACAAGAGAGTAAATTATGTTATGAAAGCGAAAAGATTGAGCAACTATTGAAGATAAATCGCATAGATCTTAGTCAGCTAGTGGAAACAAGAGAGACAAGAACAAAGAATCACACATACATAGAACCAAAGAAATAAATCATATAATCAGAGACATGAATATAAAATCGGAAACAGAGCACAATCAAAAGAAAAGCAGAGACAGAGAAACACACAAAGGAGCCAATAAACAGAGCTGAGAACCACAGAGACGTAATAGATCACGAGAGCGAAGAAAGAGAGAGAAGGCGTACAAAATGTTACAGAGATTGAGAGATCTGAGGGTGAATAGTCTCCGCCGGTGGAAGGAATTTGCCGACGAGGAGCTGCCGTCTCACTCGCCGATGGATGATCTAGGGTTTGCTTTGTTCGCGAGAAAGAGAGAGAGAAAGAGGAATCTCATGACATGAGTTGAGGATTTATATTTAATCGAATAAAAATATTAATAATGGAAACTACAACCCGGTTTGGTCTAAATTGTTCATGCGGTTTTGGTTATGGACCGGTTCATACGATTTCTAGGTGTAGTTAATTGAACCGGTTAATTACTTATATCGGTAAATATGATGATTATGTTCGTCTCAACACAGACCTAATAGCAGCACGTCATCAAAACCAAATTACTTAACAAAGAGAGAACAAGTCAAAAAACAATTTGAACTTTTGAACGAAACCCAAAACATAGATTCCAGATATACAACGATATGCAGTCTACAAGTATTATAACATGTGAATGGGACACTTCTATACATAATCTCTCTCTAAGAGAACAAAGACCAAGAATCTTGAGAGAATCCACTCTGGTCATGCCTGAGAGGCTTAACTTAGACAAAAGCACCTCACTCGGATCTCTATATAAATGCTACATTGCCTCTCTCATGAGTCTCCACGGAATCTTCTTTTGCTAACCAAACTCAAGACTCTAAGAGAGATTACATCTTCATGCTGCTCAACAATGGCTCACCAGATGCCAGCCTGTCTAGAGGACTGCAAAGGGTAGCTATGAAATGGATAAGCTCTAGCCATATGGACCGGCTTTACGGCCGCAGGTATTGCCCATGTTAACTCTCTTCTTGGAGGTGGAGGTGGAGGTGGCATATTCCTCCTTCTGTCCATTTCTATCAGTGTGCACATCTCCTGGATCACCTCTGTCACCATGATGAAAACATCCCATTATTTTAATCAACCGCTAAAATCAGTAACAGCACATCTTTTCGTTCAGGCCACTACCTATATTCAAACTCAATATGTGCACATGGTAAGAACCTAACAGGCCTCTTGAATTGGAGGAGCTATAGTAACGCCTATTCCTAGTGCTAACACTATAGAAACACTACATCTCACTTGATCAAATGACTGCAATAATACCAGAGAAAAAAATTAGAGTTTGAACAGCAAACCTTTTAATAGCTTAGTTGTTACTCCAAACTCCAACCACCAATCTCTTCTGCTGCCTACTTTAGCGTTCTGAAACGTAGCAGCTAGGTGCACAGTGGCTGTTGCAATAACATGGGGTTTGTACTGCAAGCATAGTGTGGTTCGAATCCTACGCACAATGCATTATAAGATTCTTCAAACTCATTGTAGGGGAAAAATGATAAAATCGGGTAGATACTATTATTAACAAGGGTCTTTACCAGTCATGCACAAAATTCCATGCAGCTGTTGCAAGGTCAGGCCAAGCGTTCAATCTATTCAAAGCCGCAGCCAGAGGTTTGTAGGGAAGTTCAATGTCTAAATGGAAAGCACTTGTGCTCAGTAAAAGACTCTCCCCAGCCAAAATAATTTCTTTAAATTCATGGTAACAGTCCTACAGGAAGAGCAACAAGTAATAAATTAGTAACATGTGCAGTGCATATTTACCAATACACATATATATACATATATATATACTTACAGTTTGATGGATTCTAATTGAGGCAGAAGGATCCCACTCATAAATTATTTCATAAGATGCTACAACGACACTGGACAGTTGACATGGTTCATCTTCAGCTTTGCAAGCGAGGAACAGACTGGCAGTTCCTATCGTCTGCAAATCACCAAGGGAGAAATCGAAGAGGAAATTGTTAGCATCAATCATATACACTTTTAATTAATCAGGAAGACTGAATAAACTATTTAATAACCACTTTTGAATTGTTTTCATCGACATTATATTGCTCATAACCCAAATTCTGTTTGAAAAAACAATATCTCCATTACAGACTATTCAATCATCCATATTTTCCTGTCAGCTCCAATGAATGCGATTGAAGAACCATATGAATACTAAAGTATTCTTACCTGCCAGTCATTTTTTGCATGAGATTGGCGCATGTAAAACCTGTGGCACATCACCATTGCACATGATATTGTAACCTGGGACCTGAAGCAATGAGATTGTTAAAAACCTTCAACATGAACAGGGTCAATGTTATGATATCTTGAGCAGCAACTAAGAGCTAGACATCACTTTCACCCAAACCAGCATTTATAACATAAAACTTTTTCTGACACACGTGAGTAATGCAGAAGACAAAAATACACCAGTACCTATGATAGATGATTCAAAAATAGTGGGCCGGAGAGAGACGTGCACTTGCTCAGAAAACTAAGAACATCAGTTGGTAAAGGTAGGAACAGCTGAGGGTTTTGATAACCCAGCAGAGAATTACAAACACAAAGACATATATCAGAAGGTCATGTCTAAACAGGTGAACAGCTCCCAAGCAAATTCACAAGAGATGCAAAGCCTCCCATTGCCGATGAGAAGTGAGTCAATATATGATGCATGGACACCAAATTTCGACTATTATTACATAATTCTTCCATTCACGAGATAAATATGTAGACAAAAATGGAGAATCTATAGTTGGAGAACCTCCAGACCACCTCCCACAGTGGCCCTACGACAAAATTCAACAGTTAGGCTATCCATTGTCATGCATTAGGCACCCTCTTTAGCTAAAAAAGTGTAGCAGGAAATATCAGAAGACAAAGAAGATGTCATAAGTAGATGTCTAGCAAAAAAACCAAAGAACAAACACTACTTCCTAATCCTAGATGATAAAACAACAAAGAATACTATTGTGGGCTTACACATGAAGCTTCATGCCAAGTCTTTGCAGGAAGGTGCAATACGAAGACCGTAAAAACGACTCCTTCACCAGGTCAATCCCATCTTTTCTGGATGGAGAGAAACGCTCAATCTCTTCCCTGCTGAAATACCACTTGGAGGTTTCGCATTGAGGGGATTCCAACAACGATACGTGTCTCGCCTCCGATTCAAAATGTTGTCGAGACCGCTTTCTCGGATGCTCCTCTCCCATAGTAGTAATCTTCTTCCGCCAAAAAGCAACAATTAACCAAAAATGTTTGGATCTTTGAACTAACAAGACAATCCCAATTTAGCTGCAGATATTGCTGACAAAGTATCTGCAATTAGCAAACACCATCGAATAAGACACCAATTTGTACTTTCTCATGGTTATTAGTTTAAACAGCTTTGGAACATAATACGACGACACAAATCTGATCTCAGCTTCACATATAATTTTTAGTTTGACTCATATCGCAACATCAACAAATTTCCAACAGATTCTATCAAATCACGGAATATTAAAATCGAGGAGGCGATTAATTAAATTCACGAAATCTGCAAAACAGATCGAATAATTACGAAACGTGAAGGAGGTAAAGGATTAGAGGAGCCGATTGATTCAAGAGATGAGATCAGAGGAAACGCAATCGATTCTAAGGAAGGGAAGATAAACGAATTTGGATAGCAAATTTTGAGATTTCACTAACCCAAATTTGCTTTGAAACTTGAAAATTTTCTCTGCTGCTTTATTTTTTCTCTGTGCTTGTCTGAAACTTGGGGAAAAGATCTTTGCGGTGTTGCGACCTAAAATAAATATCTAACTCAAGTTTGGAGAATGGATATGGGCCTGGACTTTGTGATTGTAAGCAATTCAAATTCGATAATGGATATGGGGCTTGGACTTATAATTGTATTTGTAGCAATTCTAATTCGAGTCGATATCTATATATACATTTTTGGATGACTTTTAGCAAATAAATCCTGGAGTTGGAATGTATTTACAAAGAATGCCATTGGCATTTATTATTTACTTTTACAAAATTTAAATAAAAGATATGAACCAAACAATATCTTGCCTAATTTGTTTTTAAAAATCTCTACACAATCTTTCCATATATCTTCAAAAAACTTTTATAGCAAATATTTATATTAACATTTTGCATAGTAATAAAAATACTAATTTATAATAATCAAAATATTCACATAGAAAAATTATATACACATACAAGAAAAAAACTATATATGTCATCATTTAAGCCGTTGCTTTATTTAAATAAATTAAAAACACAAAAACCTGAAATCATATATTTTATATGATAAATTTAAAATATATATTAGTAATATAAATTTAAAATCATTCAAAGAACGGTATACCACGGGTGAGATCCTAAAATTATTGGATTTTATTACAATAATAATTTATTTTCTTGGATTTTATAACACTAATAATTTAGCTAATGGGATAATATAGACGGGTTTATATGGAATGACGGGTTTGGGTCGATATTAATAACGGTATATTAAGGATGAAATCCTAAAATTAACAATCAAAATACAATTATACAATCGTAAACACAAAACAAAAGAAACAATATTAACAAAACAAATACAACTTAAAATTTTTAGTTATTAAAAAACCGACCCACGGTATACTTCGGAGTCAAATATTCAAAATTTTAAAATCCACCATACATCGTTACTTAAAAAAAATGTATGTTTTCGTATCTATACTTTAAAAATTGAAACCTAAACAATAGTAATCATACACTAGATAATAATACATAGATAGATATCTATATTTAAAATACAAATTAATATGATATATCTTCAGTTAAACTTTAGAAAATAACATTATATTTTTTTAAAAAATATAGCCACGCGGTGTACCGCGGGTTAAATTCTAGTACTGTATATTTTTTGGATGGTCATTTGCATTTTATATTTAATACATACTTTTACAATATTATGTAATGTCACCGCATTACGGAAATTATAATCTTTTCCAAAACATAGATATCTAGACTAATTACACACCATGCTAACATTATTTGAACTTTTGTAGAAAATAACTCTGTAACCATTAGCAATTTGAATCATTGTTAAAGTTTATTTTATCATCAGAAATTAGAGATAGCTAGAGCTGTAATGTGATAGAGTTAAATCACCAAATAAAAATGTCACCAAAATTGGATATATTAATATTTATTTGAACTTCGACTTCCATATAGGAACCGTTGAGCTAAAGTTGATGAACTAAATTAGAACATATACTATTCCGCCGAATTCATCCTGTCAATATATATTTTTAAACTCATCTTTTGAAATTAGCATGAAACCAATCAAAAAACGAAAAGTGAGCTACTCTTTAGTTTTTATTGGGGTTCAGATGTCTATTTATTGTTTTCGAATCTATATAAAAGGAACTATTTCAGTACATAAAACAAAACCAACCAAAAATCGACAACTGAAAAACTCTTTCATTATAAACCATCAAAATCTATAAAGAAAACTTTATTTTGCACGAGAATTCTCATCTTCGTTATCTTTCTCGTCTAAAAACTTAACCATGCAATACTCTAGTCTCTTCACCACATCCTCTGGCAGAGATATTTGAACCCTAATGGCATCACTATCCCTCGCGACAGGTAAAAATAAACAGTAGATATCACTCGTCAAAGGACCCATATACATTGGCTTTCCTCCTCCCAAGTCCAACTCCTCTAATCCCAGTTTCGCCCATTGTGAAATGACCAAACTGCATGAGACGTCTGTTTTCACTGTTTTATCTTCCAGTAAATCTATCGTTGATCTTATATATTCGTCAGTGATTCTAGATTTCGCCTCTTGTATCGATTTTACTGCGTGGTAAATATTACCATTGACTAGGTCTTGTACCTTGCTCTCGGCGCAAGCTAGTACGAATCCATTACCGTAATACCCTTGGGGAAGTTCTGGAGTTAGTCTTTTCCTCATATTGACAGAGAATAAGAGTTTGACCAGCATGGTCAATGGTAACTCAAGAGATTGAGCCCACGAGCGCCAAGTGTGAGCCGCTAGTGCCTCGAACGTGGTGCATTTTAGCGAAGGAACGCATGTTTTCTTTAAGCGTACGAGATGAGATTGGGTGAAGGTTAAGGTGGCGGGAGCCAATGGTTGGGACTGTAAATGCTTGCAAATGTCGAAGGTGGAGCCTTTGTCTACGGTGGTAGTTCGGGTGAAACCGGGATGTGAGTGTGTGACACGGGGAGGGTTTCGCGGATCTAACACGTGACGGGAGTGAAATGGTCGGGTCGGAAGATGAGCTTGGCTAGTGGTCGCATGGGCCCATGCATGTAGGAACTGTGATGTGCCAATGCCGTCGCAGAGGCAATGATTGATCGCGGTGCAGAGGATCATACCCCCACAACGAAGATACGTCACCTGGGGCATTAATATTCGTAAGATATGAAAATATCGATTTATTATTACATTCGACTAGCTTTTAAGCGTTAATAATCAAACTTTTATACGTAAGTTCATAGAAACGCAGTTTTAATAAAACACATAACATGAGTTGAACAAAACGACTTATAGAATGAACTAATTCAATGCAAGAAAAAAAAGTTTTGTTTTTCGTGTAAACAAGAAAAGAAAAAGAGTATGATTGAACAGACAAATTATTCTCTATGCGCCCCTCTTTTTCTTCCATATAATGTCTTTATTAAAGTTCACGTATTTTAAGAAGAAATGTGGTAGAAAATAACTTTATGTTATTGATACATCGAATGCTTATGCACGACCAGTAAAAGTATGCATTTCTTATTTGAAAAGAACAAAGTGGCCGAATCAATTTAAGAGTCAGGAATTTAAAAACAATTTAGATTATTCCTACGAATTAGTATATTTAAACAGAACAGTCGATCCAACTAACTTTAAGAAACCTAAAATATTCGAGCTACGTTTATCCCCCTCCAAAAAAAATTCGAATATAATTCTTTCACGAAAATTAACTAATACGGAAACAATATGAGTCATGGTTTTAACTTTTGAAATTGAAATCATAAGTTTCCCAGCAAGAAAAAAATAAATAAATGAAATACGTACGAACCTGTATGATAAGAGGAGGAATATCCAAGAAACTCTGAGCTTGAACCTTGAACAAGAGCTTCCTCCAAGACTTGTTTGGTTTAGGAGAAAGCTGAACAAACTCTTGACAAGTTATATCCATGAAAGCTTCTGCGAAAACCGCGCCTTCCCCATTACAGTCTACCTCGAGCTTGCTCCCTTCATCGGAGACTCTTATCCGACCCGCGAAAGGGTAGTAATCAACTAGAACCCTAGAGAGAGAATCTTTCAGGGTGAGAGGGGAAATAGAATTTTCGAAAAGGTAAAGATACTTGATAGAGAATCTGAGAAAATGATGGTCGTCGAGGTTGGAAAGGTAGAGAGAGTGATTTGGTGTGGGAGATGAAGGAGTTATTAAGGTTGGTTGGTTTCCCTCGTACAAGCAATCCGGCAGTTCTTCCATCCTCCGTTTATTTTTTTCTCTTTGTGTTTTTGAGAGAGATAGAATAAAATGGATAGAGATGGTGGAAAGGGAAAGTAGTAAGCAAGAAGAGATCTATAGGAGTATAGGGGAGAGCTAAATTGGTGGTAAAAGTTGGAATCCGCTTAAACAGGGGTCAGTCTTCAACTATCTTGGACCCATGCCAAATTTAAGTATTTCTTATTAATGTGTAATTTGTTTGTTATCATTCATTATAGTATTTCTTAATCTGTAATTTGTTTGTTATCCTTCATATATATAACCCTTATAATTAGGCCTAATCAGTCTGTTACACATTGATTTTTATAACCAATTAGATTCGGACTCGCACGTTCGTGCGGAGTTATATTTGTATCTATACTATTAATTGAGAATCATTAAAACATAAATAACCCTATTTTGGTAGAATATTTACAAAGAATGCCATTGAAAATTTGAATATAAAGAAACAAAAAAAATTCACGTGGAAGGGTAAAAAAAAAATTTCTCATTTTAAGAAACATGCGGATCTTGGATCTTCAATCGGATCTTCTAATATTACAAACGAAACAACACGCGGATCTATATTTGCTGAGTTGGATGATCCGAATAACAGTCCCTCTCAATATTAATGGGTTGGATGACATTTTAGATGGGCTTCATATTTGACAAATGGGCTTCGCCGACTATCACAACCTCACAATTAATTCCAATATTGTTTGAGATACTCTGGATATTAATGACACATAAACAAAATGGTTAGTTATCATTCAAAAAGATTTCCATAACAAACAAAATCATTCAATATCCATAACTACATAAATTTCAACAGATTTCCATAACAAACAAATCCTCGACAATCTTTTTAGCCCAATTTATCATAATCACGATTTCCCAATTTATATCTAAACAAATTATTTATCTTAACAAAAAAATTCAATTACCAAACTCTATCAAAAACTAGATATTGATATATGTTTAAATCGAGAATATACCCTAAAATTCGAGCATCTACCTTATACGTTTGTTGATTTAATTCTCTAAACCCTAAAATCTTCTTACCTCTCTCAACTCATATAAATAGACGCCTAATGTGAAAGTTCAGAAACACGCTAACCTTTCATAAAAGCATTCTTCACTTTTTACTATTTCGTAACCATGGCTCAAAATCACGGTATCACCACCCTTGCTGATGTGAGACCTTTCAAGACGAATTGGAAGATCCAAGTGAAAATTCCTGGACACAATACATGCAATTCACTGGTGAAACAACAGAAATGATCCTTGCAGATCATGCTGTAATTATATATTATGTGCTTCATTATATCTTAAGATTCTTTACTAATTACAATAATAATAACTATGTTGTTATCTTCTATATAGGAAAGTTGTGATGTTTAATAATAATCATTCAAAAACTTATCTCTTTGGTTTCTCTTCTCTTTAAAACACATAAATATGTCTGTAACAATCTGCAATTATTATATAAACAAAATTAATTAGATCTATTTCCAGGTTTCAAAATATAGTGAACATCGCAAAATATAGATTCCAAATTGAATAAAATTAATATCTGTAATCATGATTTGTATAGAGACAGGATGATTTTTTAGCTAACGTTTCAAAGAAAACGAAATGAGATGTATCAGTTGCTATGTAATCTAGATATAATAAAGATTCAAGCGGTCTCTACCAAAAGCTTTTAAAATAACGTACAACATCAGTCTCAATAGCAGACTTCTCTGCTTCTATTTCTTCAATAGTTTGAAAAGCTTATCACCAATCTGGAATTTCCAAACAAGAACATCCGGGTTAGAGAAATAAGCAAACCCTAAAACTCCACATTGGTTTTCTAATGAGTGGAACCTGCCTCTTCTGTAGAGACCGCTTGACAACGGGGCCACCGGAGAGACTGACGGCAGCACCGAGCGGAAGCTTGTCGGTCTTTAACGAACATGCAATTAAGCGTGCAGAGGGACATCTCGCCGTATCGATTATCCTCAAACACGAATCTATGCAAGGTATAGAGAACATTACTCAACAACGATTTATAGCCAAATAGATAAGCCAGGACAGTGAAGAAACACAAAAAAAAAAACATCCTCAGAACAAATTGACAAATTTACAACACTTAAAACAAAATAAAGACAAACCTCTTTTCCGATTGAACAATTACATCTCCACAAAGTATAAACAAAGACGAATTATATGGAATCTGTGAGAATTTTGCAAAAGAATCGTCGATACTGACAAGATTTTTTTTAATAACATCTATAATTTTTTTTTTTTTGGTTTTATCAGACATCGATTCCGATGTTGAAGATTGTAATACAAACAAATCTCACGTAATGGGTCAAATATGTAGTAGGCCCATCTTTAATATGTATATAAATCTCCTTCGGCCCAACATGGTTTTTTGTGACCCATAACAAAATATTTCTGTTTCACGTAATCGCCCATTGAATTAAGTTTTGACTTTAGTATTAAACATATTATGCTAAGTGTATAATTAAACTATTTATTTTATTATATAACACATTTTTATTATGACAAATGTTGCATCTTTTAGTAAATACACTTTTCTGCAGAATGTATAATTAATCAAACTGAAAATAAATGTGTGTAATATTGTTTATTCTAAAGATTGATATTTTCACTATTAATTACATAAAACAAAACAATACATTTAAATTACAACTTTATGTAAATCCTATCGATTCAAAATAACAACCCGCACGTACGTGCGGATCCGGATCTAGTATGTATTTATTTGGTATAACATTCATTATCCTACCTCATATCAGTTTGGTATTCGGTTTAGTTTCAATTTGGTTTAGACAAAATAATTAATCGGATTTGTTTTTGGTTACAGTAGAGACAATTACATAATTAAAAAGAGAGAGAGAAAATAGACACTAAATTTAGTTTGTTTGAGTTTTAGACAGAAAAGACATAAAAATCTTTTTGAATATATATTGTTAATGCTCCAACGAAATAAATATATATACTTTTTGAATATATATTTTTGACCAAAAGAAAAATGCTCAACTAAATATATATATTTTTTGAATTTTTTTCTTTTGTTTTTTTAAATTCAATAATTCTAATGGCATTCATTGTAATTAATCTACTAAAATAAGGTTTGTTGGTTTTGAGTGATTCCCAATTAATAATATAGATATCTTACAAAATCATTACCAATTTTTCACTAACTTTGGTCATGGTCTTGACCCATAATTCATTTTCTTAGAATTTTAAGAGCGAAAATTACGAAGTATGGATCCATCGATAATGACAAATTACGAACGTCCGTAAGACCTTAACATAAACCCGTCAGTGATTTGTTGGAATATAACTAGACGTATTAGAAGAATATTATTACGAAAAAAGGACAATTGTTCCCGAAAAAAAAAAAAAACTCTCTTCTCTCTCCTCTAAATGTTGCTTCGAATTGTGGCCCTAAACTTTGGCTCATCATTCTTGTAAATAAGAAGACAAGATAGAGAGAAATTAGGTTTGTATGATCCCAAATCGATTTGGATGAATTGTACAAGGGCATCAGTGTCTTTATTTAGGGTGAATTAATTACGTGGGGTAAAGTTTTAACCATAGTTTGAACTTCCGTTAGCAAAGTTAACAGTCGTTAATTCAGAGGTCCGATTTCAACAACTTTTAAAAAACGAAGGTTTTAAATGACAACCGAAATTGAACAAAGTATTTTCTTCCAAACTTAAAACTAGAGATATGAATCGGTGAAATAAAAATTAGATGACGGTTTTTTCGGGTTTTTTTCCTTATATAATATGATCGATTTGCCGGTAAAAAACAAAAAAAAAAAGATTATGAGCCTTACTAAAAATTAGGCCTGAGATTATTATCCGGTATCTGCGGATATCCGTATCCGTATCCGTTTTTTTATCCGAAAAAACGGATATCCGGAAAAACGGATACGGATACGGATAATAAAATAACGGATATTCCGGATACGGATACGGATACGGATGATGTTAATTTTAAAAAACGGATAACGGATATCCGGTTATTTTGTATTTTTATACGAAAATATGAGTATTTTATACAAAATACGGTATATTTATAAGAAATACAGTATTTTTATACGAAATACGATATTTTTATACGAAAATACAGTATTTTTATACGAAAATACAGTATTTTTATACGAAAATACAGTATTTTTATATGAAAAATGATTTTTTTTTTTTTTTGCATGTCTACGGATATCCGCGAATATTCGCGGATAATCGGATTTTTAACGGATATCCGGATAGCGGATATCCGGAATTTTCGGATACGGATACGGATACTAAAATCACGGATAATACGGATACGGATATCCTAAAAAAACAGGATATCCGCTCCGTTAACAGGCCTACGCCTTTCGGGAACAATTGTCCTTTTTTCGTAATAATATTCTTCAGCACAGGCGACTCAACAAGTCTCAGCGTTTGAGCAATCCTGTTCAAGTAATACGCCTGCATCGCTCGATTATACGTTGGTGTGACAACAATTATAAGCTTCTTCGGCACAAAATTGACCTCCTCCTTCCCATTTTCAGTCTCCGCCACGAAACTCACCGCATCTACAGCTACCTCTTCCCGTTTCTTGTTGTTATCCAACCGTTCTTCAACGTAGGGCTGTTTGATCTCGAAGGAGAATCGATCGGAACCGTTTACATCTTCCATTTTTCCGAAAGGTGTCAAACTTATTTTACCCGTCGAAGACGATAACCGGGGATCGTAGTGGGCCTAATGTTTGCTTAATTAAGGCCCAAACTTATTTTCTTTCCGGTCATGACACTAGGAAGATTACTTGAGAGCA